TACTTTCCTTGCTTTTACCGGTTGTTTGGCGCAGATAGCCTAGCTGCTTTGCGCCATAAAACACCAACCAACCAACCTTCATTTTTCATCTGATAAGAAGGTATTTTTCATCAACTAGGCCACCACTGTGTTCCGTTTATTAGTTCACTTATTGACAATGATAACCGATTCCTTTCAGGTGAGTTAAAGTAAACTTTTCCACTTGCAACCTGACAGAAATGTTATAGAACTACAAACTTGAGTGATTTGTAATAACAATTCTAGATACCTCCTCGCTTGTATTCAACTGCATTCTGATACAAATGTGTTCGTACTATGATTTTGGGTAATTAATACTAGTGATTATACGTACTTCCTCACTCGTATCCTAATAAGATTTTTTTAACTGCCATCATGTAACTATGATAACTAGAAGCGTGATGTCTCTAGCCAAGCTATTTGGTATGTGAATGTTTCTCCATTTGCTAACCTTTTTCTTGACTGTGCTTATATAAAGCTCGGTACAACTTTTCATAAGAGGTCACGAAAAGAAGTCAATAAGAATAAAAATTATGGAAACGTTTGGGTTTAAACCAATATTAGATCAAAAATATATTTGATTTCCACAACAAACAATTGCCTGTAGAGGACGACATTTATGTTCTACTGTTGAAAAATTTAACTGAAATGTTTATTTAATAGTTTTAACCCACAATATAAATCTGAAAGGTAAATCCATAGTGTGGTCATTTATTCATATGCATCACAATCGTCAGCAGGACCCCAGTCTTGATCAGCTATATTTGCTGTTCGCATAGTGTTGAAAGGGGCAGGGGTATGTTTCAGTGACAGCTTTAGCCTAGGTACCATAAATAAGAAGTAACATAAACCTAGAATATCACCATCTTGCCGACTAAAGCAATAACATAATGAATGACCAACTGATACGTATTGGAAGTAGACCTTCAAAGTTTCGGAGACGAAGTTCTCTGTGAATCACGGAATTGTAACTTGCTACAAACTAACGTTTTCATATGCACATGTACCAAGCGCAACCCAATGGTTATTATAACTGCTACCGCTGGTAGCCCTCGTATGACTTTGCGCTAGGTTCAACAAAATAAATAACCCTATACGCAACATTTATTGCACTAAGTTATCAATTCATAATTTTTAAAGAACCATTCCTAATAATATCGTGTCATGTTTCAAAAAGCACAGACTTGAAGAATATTGCCATTAATTTTGCTGTTTTGCTGTTGTTTCTGAGAGATAATATATTCACGATTGCTTACAGCCATGAACCTACATCTCATTTTATTGTTTAATGTTAGGATGAATCATTTTACATTGTTAACAACACGAATCCTTTATACTAATCTAGGTATCTTTCTATGACCCTAAGCTAATACAGTTAACTAGTTTTATTTTTTAGCTTTGTATTATACCTGATCTTTCATAATAAAGAAATTTCTGACTTTGAAATTGGCAAGAAAACAGATACTGTATACGAAAAAAGTAATAAATATACCTCTGTAGAAGATAACTGCTTATATATAAAACCTTAAATGTATTTAAGGAACTCCATATGAAAAATCTGAAATATATTGAAAATAATGTCAAATTATAGAAATGTATATTTCGTTGATTATATTTTCATAGTATAACAGAAAGGGAGTCTTGTTGATATAAATGTATTTCTTCACTGAAGTAAGGAATTTGTTGTGTAAATTAGAATAATTAGGGTCTGTAATGGCGTAAAACGAATATGTAAAGGCAGACGTTTTGTTGATGTTTCATGTATTTGTAGCTATCAGCTAGCTGATGTTATAAACTTACTTACATGTTTTTCATAATTTTTCATAAATGTTAAGACATCTATACAGAATTTTTGTTTTCTCCATTATCATAAACACTTGCAAGATTAGTTGCTTAAAGAGCCATACGTGGCACAATATAAATAAAGTATGTTGAAGTACACCTATATATTTTTCGTTATAGAATTTCATTTCCAGAAAGAATCACATATAACAAGTCTATCATTCTACCTGAAAATCAGCTTCACACAGAAGACGATGTCGGACCAGAAGTGGTCCATGTGTACGAAGTAAGTAGGTAAAAGTTTTTCTTTATAGCGCTTTGATGACATCTGTTCTCGGGATTCAGTAACACTTTCCAATCCCTTTTCTTTATATTCTTCGCTAAACTATAGTTCCATAAAGTATAGAAAGACGAAAATGAGATTTTATTACTCGATTTGCTATAACTGTATTTTCAATTACCTTCGAGTTTATATTACCCTATTGAAAAATATTTTTGTCCAAGAAGAGAACAGATTATAGTTACAGTGTTTTATTGACACAAAAATATGATGTTCAACAAATTCGCTTGGCTCACAGTTGCTGAAACTCTGAAATTTCCTACCATTCTTAGAAACTATCCACTTGTTATGTATGTATCACGAAACACTTTGTTGTTGGTTTCTTCAGAGCATTGCTTGTTCATATCTAGGTGCGTTTGTTTTTGGAAAACAAGTTACTTTGTAAAACTTAGTTAAAATGTTACATTTATTTCGATATACTAAAATAATATTTATATCATTAGGTACAATAGTGCTTAACCCGATGACTACCGGCTACTAACTTTCTTAGTAAGCAATGCAAGTCTTGCTATATTTCATTCCAACAATAAAACTAGTGGACGAATATGTTCGAAAGTTCATAAATGCTTTGACAAATGTAGGTAGTTTAAGAAACATAAAGCCTATTACTTTTAATAAATTTAGTTTTTTTGCATTATGATCTTTAATATCTTGGAAAATTAATTAGGAAATGATATTTATAAGAAATGATTACAATATTTATATTTGCTACTTATTACTTTTAATGTTTTAGTACATTATTTTGAAATCCCCCAAAAAATTGTATTCTCCATAAAATGCAAATTTTATCTA